TCCATCCTCCGGCACAGACACTGTGGAGGCACCGCTCCTGCCAGGGACCTGACCCCTTAGCAGAAGCTTCTGCCCTCTGTCTTCCATCTTTCACCAGGGTACAAACCAACAGTCCTACTTCTTCTCCCTTCTTTAATCTGATTGTCACCACTTTCTTTTTTTTTTTTTTTTTTAACTCGTGGCAATTTTCTCTTCTGTGTGAAACTTGACACTGACAAAAAGTCAATGAACTGCAGGGTTTAGCGGGATAGTTTTCCTGTCCTCCCTCCCCACTTTCTTGATAACAATGACCATACACCTCAAGACAGCTAAAGCCCACACCAAGAAAACAGCAAGTCATGTGCAGCTGAGCCCCAGGGGGCAGGGATGTTGTTCTGTCCCCTGGTGCGTATCACGCACCTCAGAGCCCGATGCCCTCCACCACCACACGCCATTCCACAGGTTCAGAGCTGAATTCTGAAAAGTGGAACCAAAGGTGACAGAAGGGGTGGCTGGAGGAAGGGGAAGTCCATGGACAGTTTAGGTGAATTTCCCAACAATATCCCCACCATTCCCACAATGTACCGCATTATTTGTGGAAGTTAAAGACCAAAGAAGAATCAGATTTTCAACTCTGCCATCTAAAGCAGAAACTGAGAGCCTTATTTACTGCACAGATTCTAGCCCAAGTGCCATGCCTCCAGGTTTACAATTTCAACCTGCCACTTAAGTTAAAAAGCCTGTGTACTAAAGGTGTCCCCTGGGTTAGAATATCACAAATTTCCTCCGTCCACAAACCATTTCAATTCTCTCTATCGCTATTCTCCCCATCTGGCCTCATTAAATATTTCACACTCTCCAAGTAAAGATCGTTTTCAGCTCTATTTTTCCTAAACTAATGATCTGTCTAAAGAATGCTTCTGGTCTAAGAAAAGCCCAGAATCTTTTCTACTATTCTACTTCAATGAAAAATAAAGCCCCCAGGGACCTCCCTGGTAGCACAGTGGTTAAGAGTCCGCCTGCCAATGCAGGGGACAGGGTTCGAGCCCTTGGTCCAGGAAGATCCCACATGCCGCGGAGCAACTAAGCCCGTGCACCACAACTACTGAGCCTGCGCTCTAGAGCCCGTGAGCCACAACTGCTGAGCCCGCATGCCACAACTACTGAAGTCCTCCTGCCTAGAGCCCGTGCTCCGCAACAAGAGAAGCCACCGCAATGAGAAGCCCATGCACCGCCACGAAGAGTAGTCCCTGCTCACCGCAACGAGAGAAAGCCCGTGCAGCAACAAAGACCCAACGCAGTCAAAAATAAATAAATAAATTTATTTAAAAAAAAAAAAAGAAAGAAAGAAAACTAAAGCCCCTGTAAAACCACAGCCCATCAGACCCAGAGAAGCAGCAGCAACAGGTGTCAGGGACTCTGCCGTCTGCTCCCCAGTCTCCACTAAAGCATGCAGGTTAGGAGCACACACTTCAGAATCAGCCCAGCTTTGAGTGCCAGCCCCGCTTTCTGTCACTGCCTTGACCTGGGTCTCACCAAACCCTTGTTCATGTAAAACCAGGGAAAATAAACGTCCCACCTTGTATACTGTCGTGGGGAAGAAATGAGGTGATGGCATAGGCTCCCACACATAAGCACCCAACAAATGCTAACTATTCTTAGCTATCTAGTAATCTAAAAAGCACAATGGTCTGGTGTCTTTTAAGTTTTCCAGGTTCCAAAAACAGAGGTTTTTTTTCCCCTACAAACGAATCAGTGAAATGCCACATGGAAGCAACCTAAGTGTCCATCGACAGATGAATGGATAAAGAAAACGTGGCACACATATACAATAGAATATGAGTCAGCCATAAACAGAAATGAAATTGAGTTATTTGTAGTGAGGTGGGTGGACCTAGAGTCTGTCCTACAGAGTGAAGTAAGTCAGAAAGAGAAAAACAAATACCATACGCTAACACATATATATGGAATCTAAAAAAAAAAAAAAAAAAAA